TATGGACCAATATGACCAAATGACAAAGTTTGAATACATACTTGCTGCTTCTGCATCCATGGAAGAAAGATCAACCTCTTTAGGCGAGGGCTCTTTCTCCTTGCTCGATGCCTCTTTCTCCTTAGGAGACGGTTCTTTCTCTGTAACCAATGCCTCCTGGGCAGTTGTCTTCTCTTTTTCTGACTCCAATGGAGTCACATCTCTCGGTCTTAACTCAAAAACTCCAACATCTTGATCATAATATTCTTCGGTACCGACAGAACCCATCAAAGGACTTGTCGTAACTCTTTCTTTCGCAACAGGACCCTTTCTGAGGTTCTCTTGCACTGTGGACCTGGGCGTCACTGTGGACCTGGGCGTGGATATGTCCTTATCCACCGGATCTGTCACTGGGTTCTCCTGCACTATAGGACTTGGGACAAATCCCTCTTTTCTAAGGAGTCCAACCTCCTTTAAAAGCTCTCTCACAGCATTGATGATTCTCATCTTGGATGCTTTAATTTCGGCCCTGAAATCGGTCTTCAATTCGGTCTTCAGTGCTTCGAGACTTGACACTCCGTGAACTCTTTGTGCTCCCTTTTGTATCCCTTGTTGTGCTACGAATCTTTGTTGCGGTTGTTGTCATCGTTGTGATTCTTGTTCTTGTTGTTGTTCTTCTTCTTCTTCTCGTCCCTCATCTTCTATTTCATCTTCATCTACCAAACTTTTCTCCTTCTTCTTTTTCTTTGAAGAATTTCTGGAACGAATTTCCATTTCATAGATTTTTTTCCAGTATACGCTCTCCGGATTCCTCTCAAGATATTACATCCATACTTTAACCGTTGGATCTTCACTTCCATCGAGATCCTCTACATAAAAAAGAAGAGCTTCTTCTGTCGATTCCTTCTTAAGAATGCTCTTAATTCCCTGAAAAATAGATGAGACTTACTGTTACTATATGCATCATGTCACAATGTGACTGAGTCACATGGTCCCATGTGACTGAGTTACACGGTACCATGGGACCGAGTTAAATAGCACCATGTGACCAAATAGGTTATGGTACCATGTGACCGAGTTACATGGTACCATGTGACCGAGTTATATAGTACCATGTGACCGAGATTCATGGTACCATGTGACCATGAAACCTGTGACCAACACACATGTCCTATTTTATGCATACCTTTGCTTTAGTGCCAATCTGGTCTATAACAGTGTTGAAACTCCATCTGACATTTGCTTTGACGGATTTCTTGCACATTCTGGGACACGTCGGATCCGCTCCCTCGACATCTTTGTGCATCCCGTTGGCACCCAAATTTGAGATGCATTCGAAAGAAAGCAACTGTACCATATTGTGTAAATATTAAATGCCAAAACAAATCAATTAATAACGATATTTTTCGTTTATACACATAGTAAAACACCCTTACCATAAGAGGGATTATAAACCCCCGACAATGTCATTTCTTCTTCTGCCCTCCACTTCCGAAGCTCTTTCTAACTTGATCAATTATTCTATCAAATGTGTAGCGTCCCCATGGAAATCTCTCACAAAAAGCCAAATCATCCACCATGTCCACCAAATCATGGTTTATAAACTCATCTGTGGTGCCATGATCCAGTATTCCTCCGAGCAACACGATAACAACCAGTTTCTTCCTATCAGCAGCCCTTTGAGTTGGCGTCTTCTCGAGATGTCTTATCACACTCTCCTTAGACACCTTTCGATTTCCAAAAGTCTTTACTCTAAACTGGTTTTTCCTCATATATTCCCAACCAGCCGGGTACTCACCGCATTTCAATCCGGATATGAGAGCATGTTCAACTATGGAGTATCTAATGGGCACACCATTTAGAACAAACCATAATTCATTTTCATCCTTCTTAATGACACAATGGTTTATCAGGAATGCTGCTGGAGCCATCTTCAACGTGCCATCAAATTGCATGTGAAACAAATGCTGAAACTGCGACCCATGACTGAAATACCTCCATTCTTTAGGGCTTAACAAGTCTTTCAGTTTTTTTATTGTCTCCGACGGGTAACACTTGGTATTTATCTTAGGAGAGAACTGAATGTCTTCCATTTTGTACATAAACGGCAATTGCACAACAATAAAATAGATAAGATCATGTGGCCTATTCTCCTGTGACTTGTGACCTATTTTCCTGGTACCATATGACATATTGTCCTGTGACCATGTGACATAGTACCATGTGACCTATTCTCCTGTGACCTATTGTCCTGGTACCACATGATCAATTGTCATGTGACCTATTATCCTGGTACCATGTGACCTATTGTCCTGTGAACTATGACCAAGTCACCAGTCACCATCTGACCGAACCGATCCTGTGACCTAATTTACATCGAACCCTAACACTTATATCATTGTGACCAAAATCAACATATCATTCATCATCCAAACATCGACCCACACATCCCTGTCACCTATATCACTGTGACCCAAATCAACAAATCATTTCGATTTTAACCACTTTAACCCAAACATTATAATGCTATCCCTAAAATTTCGAATACAAAACCCTAAGTTTCTATCATTTCAAATCATCACGACAAAACATCAAGGAAACATAAAAACTTTCAAAATCGTACAAATCTGAGAAAAAGAGAAGTAACCTACCATGTGGTCGTTTAACTCCACAATTTGGATTCGAGAATCGGTCTCGTTCGAAGATGCTGACGAAGATGAGTGAACCACTGTTGTAGAAGCCATTTTCTCCTTCTTTGTGCTTCGAATCTCAGGAGAGTAAAGACAGAGACTTACGAGAGGAAAATCTCGGCTTAAATCCACATATTTTCGGCGAAAATTCGACGGTTTCGAAAGAAACAGAGGAAATGTCGAGAGTTAGGAGAGAGATGAAAATGTCGAGAGTGAGGAGAGAGAGGCAGAACGTGGGTTGTTGTAGGAGAGAGAAAGAGAGAACCGTTTTTTTTTATTTAAATTTAAAATGGGTTTTATGTCTTTTAATAAAAGTTTGAGGGTATAATTGGTGTTTGCATCACTTCTCCCTATTTTTTTTAATTTGGATTTTCAAGGGTATAAGAAGAAGTACTTGTACCAGTCAAAGGGTAGATTGGATATATCCCCTATTGAGTGGATATTTTTGTCAATCATTATTGGCAAATCTAGCTATATAATATTTTAGTAGCCCAAGAGAAAAGTAAGATATATTTTCAATGTAGTGGTCTCCCAAGCTAAAACTATCAGCAAAGCAATTATATATATATATAAAGGTGGACAAAATATCTAAAAAAAATCTGAATTGATCCGTTATTCGATTCGTATCCGAACCGAAAATTTAGGTATCCAAAGTATATAGATCAGATATGGATATTTATTTGAAGATATTTATCGGATACGGATCAGTTACGGATACTAAAATTGAATTATCCGACATATACGATATGATCCGTATTTTTTAATAATATTATTAAATAAAAAACAATTTGATACTGAGATTTAAAATTCTTAATATTTATATGTTTTTTAGGGTGATTCAAGAAAAGTTTTATATATATTGAGGTTTATAATGTTTAATTTTTTGAATATTAAGATTTATTATATTTAATGTTTTGAATTTTGAATTTTGAATATATTTATATGTGATGAATTATGATTGTATTTATATTTGAATTGATTTGGAATGTTTAAATTATGAATTTTAAATTGTGAATATCTTTTTATCTTAAATAGATTATACATTTTATTTACGTTTGAGTTTGTTATTAGAATTTAAATTTAAAATTTTATAACGTTTTAGGTCGGATAAGGATATCCGCAAATATCTATGATTTTTACGAATAGCCGAAGTTGCAGATATCCGAAAATTACGAATCAGATACGGATAATAAAATTGAATATTTGTGCGGATCGGATACGGATACGAATATCTAAAAAATTTCGAATATTCAATCTGTATCCATCCCTATATATATATATATATTATACACGAATTAAAAATATTGAGTTTGTGGAGATTATTAAAGAAATTTAATATACAAAATTAAACAATAGTATCATAGAAAATAAAATTTTGTTGCGTTATTAATTAACCTAAATAATATATAGGTAGAAAGTTTAAATATCACTAATAAATTATAAACTAATATATATGTATAATATATTCTAATAAAATATCATATATCTATATAGTTAAATTTAATTAAAGAATAAAAATATTAAAAAAAATATATATAAATATCTAAATTTTTACAAAATTCTTAAATAAATAATTGAATTATAAAATTTCTAAATAAATAACTGAATTTTTTAAAATTTTTAAATAATTATCTGAATTTTTCTAAACTTATATATAAATATTCAAAATTTTAAAAATATACTAAATGAAACAATATTCGTTAATGACTAAATCATCGATTATTGACAAATTCTGTTATAAATTTAATATTATTAATAAATTTTGGTAAATTTTTAAAAATTTGAATATTTATATATAAATTTAAAAAAGTCAAATACTTATTTAAAAATTTTATAATTTATGTATTTATTTAGAAATTTTATAAAAATTTAAAGTATTTGTATGATTTTTCTTTGAAAAAAAATAAAACAACTTGTTTGGATTGTCCAAACAAATAGCAAGTACCAAGAAGTTAGAACAACCAGGGTAAATTCATGTACCACCCAAGTGCAATTTTTTATAATCGTCACTGTTGAGTAGAACCCGCCTCTGTGCAGTGTACTAACATGCACCTGGTGCGCATTGCGCACCAACTGGAACTCGAAACCACGTGTCATGATGTGATTCGTTATAGTATATACGTGTGCGCTCGTCATGTAAAGGCCCTTTCCTTCCCTCCACCGCGGCCGTTAGCTTCCCCCAATCCCCAAATTGTTTTCCAAATATTTTTTTTTTCCGATGGTAAAATAATTTAAATATTTTATTTACGACGAAGATTTAAATATTTATTTCATTTTTGTTTGTTGTCTTTTAATATTTTCGTTCTGTTTGCCTCTTTCTTCTTTTTCAATTCTTCTTCTTCTCATCCCTCTTTTTCTCGCCGAGCTCATCCATCACCTTGAACAAAACAACGAAACTCCTCTCTCTCTCTCTCTCTCTCTATCTCTCTCTCTCTCTCTCGTACACACAGATCTCAATCGGCGGTGTTTTTGTTTATCCGGCGTCCGTTCTGGGAGTACTGTGCTTGATTCAGAAGTTGAAGAAAACGTTGCAATCGAGCCCTGTTTCTTTTTCTGATTCAGAAGTTGAAGAAAACGTTGCAATCAAGCTCTGTTTCGTGGATTTTCGGTCGACAAGTTCGACTCAAGATCTCTGTTTCTCTATTAATCAGATCCTTTAGTGCATCTTTTTTTTTTTGGGTTTTTGATGAAGAGTTTGGGTTGAAGGTTTGAAGGATTTGGACTAGAACGATAACGGAGTGTTTCGATTTGTTCGAATCGTTTTTGTTTTTATCTATTTTTTGTTAGGGTTTTCGTGAGATCCCCGCGAGGCTTTCCGGAGATTGAGAAATGCCTCACCGCACGACTTACTTCTTTCCTCGGCAGTTCCCGGATCGTGGGTTCGATCCGCTGTCGCATAAGAATCTATTGGGTATTGATCAGGAGAAGAAAGCTAGCAGAAGTAACACCAATGATGGCTTCAATGGCGTCAATGGAGGCGGAAGCGATGATTTTAAGCAGAAGGGGAAAGAGAAGGACTTGTCGTCTTCTCATTTCTCGAAGAGCTCCGCCGTGTCGGATCCCTTCAGCGAGGATCTGAAGGGACAGAAGAAGCAGCAGGAGCAACTCGCGGCTTTTTACCGTTGGTTGGCCGAGAAGAAGGCCGAGATTTCCGAGCGCGTGAGATCGACGCGCCGCCTATCGACGTCCAGCGACGTCATCGACGAGGAGAGGGAGCTTCTTCAGCATCTTCTTCGGGGACATTTCCTGAATAAAAAACAAGATATACACAGATTAATTAAACCATGCGACCAAGTAAATATGGTCCCATGTGACGAAGTAAATATGGACCAATATGACCAAATGACAAAGTTTGAATACATACTTGCTGCTTCTGCATCCATGGAAGAAAGATCAACCTCTTTAGGCGAGGGCTCTTTCTCCTTGCTCGATGCCTCTTTCTCCTTAGGAGATGGTTCTTTCTCCGTAACCAATGCCTCCTGGGCAGTTGTCTTCTCTTTTTCTGACTCCAATGGAGTCACATCTCTCGGTCTTAACTCAAAAACTCCAACATCTTGATCATAATATTCTTCGGTACCGACAGAACCCATCAAAGGACTTGTCGTAACTCTTTCTTTCGCAACAGGACCCTTTCTGAGGTTCTCTTGCACTGTGGACCTGGGCGTCACTGTGGACCTGGGCGTGGATATGTCCTTATCCACCGGATCTGTCACTGGGTTCTCCTGCACTATAGGACTTGGGACAAATCCCTCTTTTCTAAGGAGTCCAACCTCCTTTAAAAGCTCTCTCACAGCATTGATGATTCTCATCTTGGATGCTTTAATTTCGGCCCTGAAATCGGTCTTCAATTCGGTCTTCAGTGCTTCGAGACTTGACACTCCGTGAACTCTTTGTGCTCCCTTTTGTATCCCTTGTTGTGCTACGAATCTTTGTTGCGGTTGTTGTCATCGTTGTGATTCTTCGTCTCGGACAGTTGCCATCAGCGAGAGGAACCTCGACCGGAGCTTTGACCGGCAGGTGTCTCTGCCGCGGCTTTCGAGTGAGAGCAGCTTCGCCGGAAGCTTCTTCTCCGGGACGACGATCGACGGCAATTTCTCGAACCAGACAGACGCGAAGGAGACTTCGACCACAACGCGGGTCTCCGTAACGAAGGAGGAGGTGGAAGAAGAGATGGCGAATGACGGCCAAGAGAAAAGCATGGCGAAGAAGTCGAAAGAAAGTTATTACTTGCAAATCACGCTTGCTAAGAGGCTCACATCTCAAGCAAGCCTAGGAGGTGAGACCATTCTTGTACACAGCCCCATTGGCGATACCTTCGTTGACGCTGAAACTCTCTCCTACCGCCTCTGGGTTTGTACTCGATCATACCCTCCATGGATTTCATTCCCATATGGTATCATATGAAAGTTTGCGGGAAAAATCTGGGTCAAGTTGTGATCTTTCTGCGATTTTCAGGTCAGTGGTTGCTTGTCATACAGCGACAAGATATCAGATGGGTTCTACAATATCTTGGGGATGAATCCGTACCTGTGGCTGATGTGTAACAACGTAGAGGAAGGGACACGACTTCCATCTCCTATGTTACTGAAGGAGATCGAACCGAGCGAGACATCAATGGAAGTGGTTTTGATAGACAGACGTGAGGACTCACGCCTTAAAGAGCTGGAGGACAAGGCTCATGAATTGTGTTGTGCTTCAGAGAATAGATTGGTGCTGGTGGAGAAACTGGGCAAACTTGTTGCCGTATACATGGGGTGGGTACAGTTCTTTTCTTCTGAGTTTTCCATGCCAATTTTTTTGGGCAAATCAATTTCTTTGTTGCACATTTATGCTGAGATTTTTGAGTTTTTAGGGGACACTTCCAAGTGGAGCAAGGTGATCTTCAAAGACGATGGAGACTGGTTAGTAAGAGACTCAAGGAATTTCGGAGGTGTATTGTTCTTCCTATAGGCAGTTTATCTATAGGTCTCTGCCGGCACCGAGCCATACTGTTTAAGGTAAAAGCAAATAATGTGATAAACTGTTTAAGTGTCATATGTTGAGCAGTTCGAAAAGGGCATGAGTATCTTGGAAGTTCTTTTGAATACTAGAGGAGAACACAGATTTTCAAGTTTTAGCTCGGAAAGTTGTGTGAGAGCTAGATTGTGGGAAGATTATGATTGACATTAGTAAAAGTACTTCTCTTTGGTATCACAATGCTGATGGGCTCGCGTTGAATGTGCAGAAATTGGCAGATTACATAGGTTTGCCATGTCGAATAGCTCGAGGTTGCAGGTATTGTGAAGAGGAGCATCGTTCTTCTTGCCTTGTCAAGATCGAGGATGACAGGAAGCTGTCAAGGTGGGATTATTTTTCGGTTGTTAAGCTCCTACATGTTTATATTCTTCTCTAATTTATTTTCCACCAACCAGTTTGATTTTTGGGTCTGTGTGCCATTGTTTTATCAATGTTGCTCTTCATTCAATCGATCTTATGTTTCCAAATTTGGAGTTTATAGTTGGACGCCATTTCTCCGACAGGGAATATGTAGTTGACCTAGTTGGGGAACCAGGAAATGTTCATGTCCCGGATTCCTCCATCAATGGTGTGTTACAGTGTCAGATTCCTTCACCACTTCGGATTAGCCATCTTGAAGAATTCTCCGCGCGTTGCGTGGACAACACATTCCCTTGTCAGACTGTTGGGTCAAAGACATCATGTGCTCTTTCTGAAAACATTCAACACTCAGGTATGCTTATAATTTGCAGAATATGTAATACAATTTCCTTGTGGAAGAGTTTGAGTTCAAGGCCTGAAAACAATGCTGGAGGTAGAATTGAACGTGCTCGGATTTTGTAATTTCTTGCAAGCTATGAGGGCTTATTCTCTCAAGTGCTGATTAATAAGTAAATGCTTTCAACCACTCGTCTATTTCAGATTTATGTTAAGACTTCTGACATATGCTGAAATCTTTCTTCTACATCACTCCTTTGTATTTTTGTTCCTTTTGGATGCTTTTTGTAACTCATGTTTGATTCTTATAGTTAATGGAGGGAACTGCCAAGGACACAAAGAATTTGAGTTGCTTGATATTACAAGGACAATATCTTGTGCTCAACTTGATAAAAAATTCTCTACAAAAGCATCACCCATTGTTTCAACTGAATCTGCCATTCGAGCTTTGCCACCTGAAATAGCAAAAGTTAACAAGGACATGATTGCTCAAGAAACCTCCAAGGAAGAGACATTGCAATTGGAAAGCCCAATTGAGAACAGTGTTATCAAGCAGCCAAAGGGGGACTCATCAGTTGAACCAGAGACGCCCAAACTTGAGAGTCTACAAAGATTTCCTG